AGTTTGGTCCCTGGTCAGTAGGAGGGTGCGAATGTGACAGCCGCCACTTCCGTATGCCAACTGGGCATATACGACTTTGGTATATATATATATATATATATATATATATATATATATATATATATATATATATATATATATATATATATATATATATATATATATATATATATATATATATATATAGTTAAAGTTTAGTTAGAGTGAGATAGTCCATTATTTAGGATGTGTGAGGTTAGTATGTACACGTGTGTATAAGCTTAAAGTGTATAAGTTCAGGCCAATGTGGTACACAGCTCGTTGTCACGCACGCATGCACACCCGTGTAGACCTCAATGCGCCAGGCGCCACTTTGAGCTCATGTATGTGTGCATATATGATTACTGCTTTTGTGCACTCACACTAATATGTATATGACTCGCGTTACGTTCAACCGTCTGAGTCGCAAAGGATGAGCTCGCATTTTCGAACGCGTTGCGGCGCCATGTAATTATTTAGTAGACAAAGGAGCGGACATTTTATTACTTTCCTTTTGGCTTCTGTCGCCATATTCCAGACAAATAATTCAAGATTCCGATGAAATTCGTAAGATATGAAAAGCATATGATTATAATGAAACATCATTATATATATCTTGATATTTTCATTTTAGAGAGACTTCCGGTTTCTTTTGTTATTGAATAAAACGTTACAGTTTCATAAAAAATTATTTGACGATTCATAAAATAAAAATTGGATTTAAAAATAAGAAACGCTGTATAATAAAGTAGTTATGTTTCTACTTCATGTATATATACCTGCAATGATAGTGGACAAATCAATTTAAAATGGAAGATCAGATAAAATGGACTCGATTCATTAATTCTAATTCGAAAACATTCTGAAAGTTGACTATCTGTTGTCTTGTTTTTAATCATTCCATCTCAATGGCTTTCTATATCTTAATGACACAAAAAAGACGTAAATTGTTATCATTATGTAAAAAAAAAGAAACGACGATAATTATAAAGAAAACAAACATTGTATAGAATTTATAAATGGATTTGGAGTGCCAAATAAAAGATGTGAAGAGCTTTTTGTACACGGAAAGAAAAAATCTGAGAAATATTTTGATACTCAGTATTAAAATGTTGGATGAAAGTGTAATTCTAAAGAAAAATCTCATACTGTATCTGAAATTAACAGAGAAATAACTTATAATAAAGTCTAAAGAAAAAAAGGCTGAATATGATGAAAGTTTCGATTAATGTGAAATAAATTACAATACTGTATTGAAATGTGAAATCTGTCCATGAAATATTAAATCTTCATATTCGTTGAAATATTTTTAATACAGTATAGTAATTTTGTCGAATCAGTGTAAAATGAATTACAATACTGTATATAAATATAAAACCTGATAGTCTTCATACTGCTCAAAACATTTTTAAGACAGTATAGTAATTTTTTTCATACATTAAATTTATTTAAAAAAATAATATTTCGCACTTTTAGTTTATTTAATCACCACATATCTTGATATTGCACCCAACAACTTGTTCATCCTTCACCACTTATATACATTTTAACCTCTAACGGTTATTTATATACTTAATAATAGCCTACCTAACAGAAAATATTCCAACGCAAGGAATTGAACGCACGCCCTAAAACTTATAGATCGCAACCCTAACCAACCAACCACGCAACGCTCGCTGCAAGAAACTGTACAATATTCGATGACCTTCTTCCTTTAGAATAAAAACTTTTAACTACAGATTTGAAGTGCCCTAGGTCCATAATTACTCTATGAATATATTTTACTGATTGCATTACAGTAAAATTACCTTTCTTTTCATATATTTAAATATTTAAAATACAAATTCATTTTATATTTTTAAATTATTTTTATTAATTAATAATAAATTATATTTAAAAAATTAATAATTTATAATGTGAAAAATTGGAAAAAATTTCAAATATTTTGAAAATATTAATAAGTTAATTTTAAGTAATAATAATGATAAAGTTGCATATCATATCTTTAGAATTTATATATGTATTTTAAATAAGTTTGTTTTATTTATTTTATTATTTCTTAAAAAAATTTAAACTGAGTTATTTCAGTATAAACATGTATTGATATTTTATAGGAGTTTGCAGGTTCAGTATCACAAGAAGTACAAATTATCTAAATTGCAAAGTTAATTGAGAATCGCAATTAACATTTATTTATTTACCAACAATTAATATCACAAAATAATTCATTTGAAAATTCCATGTGACGTTTTCATACAATTTTTTTACATGGAATTTTACATTACTCACAGCCAAGACTTGCAAATATAGTGACAACCATTCGGTAACTTATTTCTAACTGTGATTGTAACATCTTGAAGGTTGCACAACTTTAACATATCCCATGAATAATTATTATCATCAAATACTTGGAAGGCTTGTAAATGATTATCAAAAAACACATCATTAAGTTTCTTCGTAATAATGCGACAGTCATACTTTTCGATAATATTAATTACGTGTACTACATGAAACAGTGGGCCCTCTTCTGAGGGAACGACAATAATACTGTTTACTTTAATTTTTCGACCCAGATATTTAATCCACTGTGTTTTTTTAATTGAACCATTTGAGTGAGATAGCAGAGAGATGAATTCGTTAGATTCCGAAATTTGTGTAAGTGCAACTTGTTTAATAGTACCACTTGTAAACAGAGGATAAGAACAATGTTTGCTCAAGAATCTATAATTTAAAATTAGTTGATGCTTAATCGCGATCGTTCGGCAAACGTTTATTCTACAACGAGATACATGAGAAGTCACTTTTCCCTCTTGGTGCTTTGATTCGAAACGCATACACGTACTTACATTTAAAATACCGAGAGCTTCAAGAATACGAGCATAATGTATTAGAAAGTGATGCTTTGGTTTCATTTTACCCGGGAAAATTTCAGAATGTAACTTTAAATACTCTTCGATTAAATTATCAAGAGAAACGTAAGTTTTTTCATGAACAGTTTTGCTGAATGCTATATCGACAATTTGTTTAAGTTTCTTAAGGAGTAACCATTGCTTGTTATCCTCTGATACAGATTTGGTACTCTCTATAATCAGTAATATATTTCGAATTAGAGATAACATTTCAGAAGCCGACATTATTATACATTTTTTTTTAAGATGTTTTTCTAAAATAGGTGGAGGTTTATTTTCATTATCGTTCGAACCGTACATAAAACTTTTTAATCTATCATTAAAATCTTGTAGTGAAAATAATTTCATTATATATATAAAATAATATAACACAAGCGCGACATCATAACGACAAACACCTTCTAACAGATCGTGTTGGGGATCAACAGCTGTATTTTGAGTTACATGGTAATAATCGACTTCGTTAAAAACACAAGTTTCTTTTAATCCAGAGCGAGAAGCATTTTTTTGGGATAAAAGAGACTCATAATTTTTTTTGTCGCGAAGTATGCAATCACGTTCGTTAAATATTTTGGAAATATTTTTGTGCTCAGTTAAACAGAATCTACAAAAAAAATTTGCAGAAAAACTTTCAGTGAAACCAAGAATACCATGAAGACCTAAATTATCGCCTATAATCAGGGTCAATAAAAAGTAGATTCGAATTTCTTCATTATTAATTATTACAGGTATGCCCTCGGATTGAAGAGAGTTAATCTCTTCGATTGCTTTAGAAAAAATTTTTTTATTGTGAAACACTGCACGACTTTTTGTATTAAAAAGAATAAAAAGAAAAATGTTTTCTATTTTAGCTTGAAATTCAGGAGGTAACACTGGAATGTTCAAATAACAAGCACCACACTTTGATACTCCTTTATGACTTCCTAAAGGGTTGTTATTTTCATAATCATCGAAAAACATTACTAAGGGAAGAACAATTTTATCGTCATAAATTTTAGATTTTTCTTTCCATAGAGATCCTTGGACAATGTTTTTAACTATTGTGGAATGTTTTTCAGCGTTTTTTAAGTATTGAAGAGTACTTTCCAAAACATTCGGCATTTCGAAAAATTTTTTAAAAACTTCTCTGATTGGTATAAATTGGGACACAATAACTTTGTCAACTAATTCCATTTTTCCTTCTTTTTCAACTGGTACTTTTTGGTTACCAAGCGCGTAAGATTGAGGAGGAATGAAAGTTCCAAGTTTTTTATAGGTAGAAAAACGTCGCGATTCAGTACTTAATGCATCGAAAGGTTCTAATTTTTTTTTAAAAATTGAATCAATTTCAGTGACGGAAATCGAATCAGTCCCTAACTGTGTAGCTCGATTATGAATTTCTTTTCGAATATCATCACATTGATTGTGAACCAATGTCATTACATCGTGCCCGATTTCATCTACTCTTATTCTTGATATATCCGGAAATTTATAAAGTTTCGCGAAAAAGTGGAGACATTTTTCTTTAAATTGACAATCTTTCAAACAATTTTCATCTAATGTATCAGAAAATTCCCAGAAAATATCTTGATCTTCAAAAATTACATCTGAAGCATCAGACGAAGTATCAGATGAATCATCGGTTTCATCTAATAAATTCAAAGATTCTTGTATATCTTCCGCATTTGTTATTTCTAACGTTTCTACTGAAAGTTTTTCTGCCTTTTTAAATTCAACTGTCTGCTTTTGTAATATCTCATGTTTAAAAAATCGATGTTTTTTATAAGAATTAAATTTTGAATATGCTCGAGAACAATCTGACTCGGCGCAACGAAAAGTCGTTAAATTAACGTGAGACAGTTGGATATGTGCCACTAATTGCTTATTATCAGCAAAAGAAGATTCGCATACAAAACAACGAAACATAACGAAAATTATTATCGCTAAATAAAGAAATCGTAAAATACCCGTTAAAGTCATTACAATACAACTTAAAATTTTGTCTTTAGAAGACTTAAAAACGAAATAACTTGTATTTAAATTCTGCTTAAATAAAAAAATACTTTGTTTTAAAAATTAAAACATATTAACAGGCGCTTAGTTTTCTATCACTTTCGAAAGTTCAATAGCCTGCTTTGTTTGAGCTATAAGAACATTAAGTTTGTTTGAAATTCTTTTCCCGGTGATATTAATTCCATACAGGGCGCTTTGAATAAAATGCCATATAGATTTCGAATACATTGGGTACTCACAGTTAAAAGATTGAAAACTCATGAAACTCAAGTGAAAGGCATTAAGCAACGTATCACATTCATAGGTTATGTTACTGAAGACAACGTAAAATTTTTCAATTTTTACCAATGGGCCAACAATAACTGTGAGTGGTTTAAAATCTTCCTTTTTTTCGTTAGCGTTCTCTCGTATTTTGTCTAATGTTGGCTGGAATTCGCTTACGGTCTAAAAAATTGCAGTTACAAATTAATTTGTTTTATATAAAAAAAAATTATTTATTTTATTTAAAATCATCTTACCTTGACATGCAACATGTAAGTATCACGTTTTTCCTGTGTATTTAATTTTGTATACTGTTTTGCTAATTCGTTGCTTTGGTCCTTTCGTTTTCGTTTTCCTTGAACAAAAGAATTCCCGCAGGGAATTACATACAGCAACAAATAAAACAATATAACATCTTGAGAAGCTGAAAAAAGTAAATTGTTGCAAAAGAAAAAGAAATTGTAAAAGTTAAAAAAAGAATAAATTGCTTACAGGAATCCAGAGCTGACAATAACGACAAAAGAATTTTATCATTCGCATCTGCAATTCTAGTTGTATTTAAATGTTGAACTAAAATTGGCTTAACTACATTCCAAAATTGAGGAAAAGGATTCGTCGAATCCGGATACAACAGCTTGAAGTCTAATTCAATCTGAAAAAAAGTTGTCATTAAAATAATGAAAATCAGTGATACTTTTTTAAAGAAAATATCTAATAAAAAAAAATAAAATACTAATTTTCTTCCTTCGTGCTCTTTAAAAGCTTTAATTGAATCAAGGTACTCGTTTAAGCTTTTTTTATTAGACAATAACATTTCCCTTCGGTCGGAAAATGTTGATTTCCAAAGCTTCTCAATAACGTCCCAAGGTGTAGAGTTTTCCTCCAGCCAACGAAGATCTCTTGATTGTGAATCTAAATGATTTATTTTGAAAAATAAAGAATAAAAAAACGTTTCTGTTTTAACAAGTAATTTAAATTAATCTTATTGGCTATAAAAAATTGCAATAAGTTAATTTCACGTTTAAAAATTTTTTACTTGTAAAGTTTTAAAAAAATGTAGTGAATAAAAGTTTAACCTGATATTATGAACGTTTTTTCCTCCGGCTTAGTTTTTTTTGATGGCTTTAATATGCCTGCTTTCCTCAATTTGGCTTTCTCGTAATTAAAGTTATCATAAAGCCTGCCTGATGCTAAAATTCTACATCCGTTTTCGATGTGAAACGGCGAATAATAAACTGCCACCCCTTCGTTTGGAAAAGTTTTTACAATTTCGGAAGCCAAAAATTTAAATTTACGTTTATCGATTCTATAAAATAAACAGAAATATGTTAAACTTCGTAAATTAATTAACCTTCGCCGGACTGGATACTTTTTATATACACGGTTGACAAGATCCCACCCAGGGTGGGCCAAATGTTTTCTTCTTTGTATATTGCAATAAAAACTTAGAATCATTCAGTTTTTTTCCAAAATTGTTATATGTTACCAAATAATATATTTTATTAATGTTTTGTTGATTTTTTATTTGTTTAAACAATTTATTATTAATAATTTATAACTTTTTCAAATATACATACGACAGTAGAAGAATTTTATAAATTTGTTACATTTTCTTCGTAGTTATTAATTCAAAGGTTATAAATAAAATAAAATATATAATTCAATTTGCAACAACTATTATTATAAATTGTTTAAACAAATAATTGTTGCTATTTATTAACATTCTTCATAATATTCCTAGAAAATTGCAATTTTTTTCTAATTTTGCAACTTAACAAGCACAACATAATAACACAAAGATTTTATATGAATTTACTATTTAACCAATTGTTTAAACAATTGTTGAATTTACAATTTTACATCAAATCTATCTTTTATTATATTCGGCTTGATGAGTTGCAAAATTAGAAAAAAGGCAACTTTCCAGGTGCCGTACAAAAAAAGTTAGTAAATAACAACAATAAATTGTTTAAACAATTGTTGAATTAATAATTTTACATCAAATCTATCTTTTATTATATTCGGCTTGATAAATTGCAAAATTAGAAAAAAAATGCATCTTTCTAGGTGCAGAACAAAAAAAGTTAGTAAATAATAACAATAATTGTTTAAACAATTGTTGAATTAATAATTTTACATCAAATCTATCTTTTATTATATTCCGCTTGATAAATTGCAAAATTAGAAAAAAACTGCATCTTTCTAGGTGCAGAACAAAGAAAGTTAATAAATAATAACAATAAATTGTTTAAACAAATGAAAAATGAAATATAATATTTTTTATATCTACTATTTGACATCATAAAACACTCACAGTGAAAAGTCTGCATGATTTCAAGTCTTTTTGTAAAATAGAATTAAAAAAATATCTGAATTATCCCCGTTATCTCCGTACATACATTGATAAAAGTTATAAATAATCAAGAAGAAATTTTTTTTAAAAATTTGTTTTTACATTTTTTGAAAGTTCTTAAGATTTTGTTCAGTGACTTAAAATCGCGATTCAATTAAGGCAAAACTTTAGAAGATATGGCAATTTCAATTTGTCTGGCCCACCCTGGGTGGGCATCTTGTCAAGCGAAGGTTAAAGTTTTAAAATTATTTAAAAAATTGTTAATAGAATAATTTTTATTTTATTTCTTTTTTAATTATTAGATGAAATATAAACTAAGTACTAAATCCCAATAGAGTAAAAGGAATTTAAAAATATGTAATGTTAATACAATATTTATTTAAAAGTATCTTCAGCAAAAACAGTTAAATATTAATTTTTTTAAAAGAGAATAAAACAGAGATGACCATATTTCATTTTAACTATATTTTACTTACTTCCAATCATCTATCTGTTCTCCTACTTTGAGGTACTTAAGCAATTTCTCCTTTTCACTTCTAATTATCAAATGCACTAACAGAGTCCTTGATTGATCACTGAGGAAGTTTCTGTTATCAATGTAGGCCTTGAGAATTACCTTCCCTTCGCCACTGCTCTCCAAGAAATGTTGTAAAACCTGAAACAAGTAATATTGCTAAATATTTAGGCTAACAAAAACAATAATTTTTCAAATTAATTTTATTGATTTATGTATCTTCTTAATTAAAATCAATGTTTTTATTTAAATTAAATCAGTTCGTAAAAAACAGTAAATTATAATACAATGTAAGTAAGTTATTTTCATCATAAAATAGTATTTTTTCGAAAATAGGTAATTAAATTGTACCAAAAATTGTTATAAATAATACCTTCTCATGTGATGAGAATGTAAAAATATTGAAGTTTATACAATAACAAATTTATATCTATTGAAAAAGTCGCCAAGTTAGAGAGTATTTAATAGTTATTAATAATTATAATATTTCATGGAATTTAATTTTTTATTACTTACCCAATTCGAAGTGTTTTTGACTGAAGATCCTGAAGTACAATCAGTTTGCTCTAAACGGCAATCATTTAGCATTGAACTGCTATCATTTTGCTCTAAAGTGAAATTAAGTACGTCTTTTTCTAAACAGGATCCATTATAATGTACACTTTCTTGTACAATAGAAATCAATTTCTCACTTAAATCGTTATCATTATTTGTAGATACATTTGTGAACAAACAGGGAGCACCGACATCAACAATATTTGACCTCGAAACAGGACTCAAATCTGTAAACTGCTTGTTTACACTGCCTTCAAACTCGTACGATTCTACACGGCAACAGTTCTGGAATTTAATTGAAAACTTAGAACTCGAATATAAGTTTTTAAAATTAAGTAAAATTCCCCTTTCACATTATTCATTATATTTTATATAAATGCTTACATTAGGCTGCAGAGAATCCATTTCGAAACCTAATATAAAAAAATTTTATAAGTAATAAAAATCTACTTTGAAAAATAAAAAATAAAAATTGTGTTTTGTAAATTAAGAAACAAATGAATTTAAAAAATAACAATAATGACACAGAGTAATAAATAATAAATATTATACTCACCATCAATATTTCAATAAAACAAAAAACTCTCACAATAATAAAAATCACCGGAATACACATTAAACACGTGCGAAACTTGAGAAAAAGCGGCACAACTGAATATTTAACAGGCTGATATGCGCAGCAGGCTAGCGCGCAACTGACACATGCGCAATTCTACAAAATCTTTTAAACAGTATAATAATTTTCTTAAGCATGGTTTGGAAATTTGTCTAGAATCATCTTTCTCATAAGTATTAAAAGAGTTTAGGTTCTGTATAATGATAATTTCGTAAAATATAATATTAAATTTACTACATCTGAAAGTATTTCTTTCATTATGTAAAAATAATTATTAGCTATAATTTTCTTAATACGTCTCAGACATTTTATTATACACATAATAAAATTGCTTAAAAGTCTTGAAAGAAACTTTAGCAAATCAAATAAATATTAAAATTATCCCATTTCATCCAACTTTTCAATACCAGTATTAAAATATTCTTTACATTTTTTCTTTCCGTGTATGAGTCAAAGCACAGGTATATAAATATCTTTCAAATAGCTCTCAATAGACTCTTGTATAGTGAAAGAGAAAGATCATTCCAGGGATTTAAGGATCTTATAAACGCTCCTGTAAAATATAAAAGGCATTTTTGCCTTTTTGAGACTCTTTTATTGACACTGCTTCCCTTCTTTTTGAATGTTTGTTAAAAATCGTTTAATGATGTATCAATTTTTCAGATACATCTGAAAGTTAAATATAATTTGACATAATGAACAAGACTATTGCGTAATAAATGGTTGTACACGATTTCTCTCATTACGAAAGTCGCCATTTTTCTGTCTTCTGGAGAATTCTTGTCTCTTATATATATATGCCGTCGCAATGTCAGAATCAAGGAAAAGCAAGTAACAAGTGGTCTTAAAGTGCAGAGAGAAGAAAGTTCTTTTCTTTTTTTGTTAGAAATTAGTCAATTACGTGTGTAATTATGAACTCTTGCTCGCAAATATATATATATACATATTCGCACTAGCAGACACGAGCATTCTGTACAAAGAAAAAAAAAAGAACTTTGAGAGATGCGTCAACGCGCCAGAAACACCAAACAACGAGTCACTCGTAAATGTCAACTCAACTGACGGCTTCTGTCACTACCCATGCAAATACATTTAATTCAAGTACCGTCATTGTCTTTTAAATAGGTCACGGAAAGAGAAAGAGCGATAACCGAAGAAAGTATGTGTCCCGAACAATAATCCCTCGACCTCCAAATCATTCAAATTTGTTTTAAATCCATTGGGAAAAATTCGCGCATTACCTGACCTACAACGAACGTAATACATATTATACATTGAATCACAAAATTGGTTACTATTATTAAATTATGGTAAAAATGATTTCAAATATTACTTAAAAAGAATGTACATGACAGAAAAAAGTTTAATTACTGAATTTACATTTATTGAAATTGTATATACAATTCGGTTATAGTAAATTTACAATCATATACGCTGCTTTTTTAATTTTTCTTTGCGAAATAAATCATCGTCAAAAACATTGGGAAATATTTTCAAATAACATCAGAGAAAACTAATAGCGCTTTTAATATATATACAAGCGAATACAATCTTCTATATATATGTAAGAAATCTTATAAATGATTGATTTAAGAGAATAGTTGGTCAATTCGCGCCGTTCTCCGAATACACTGCGTATAGATAAGATTAATAACGCGCGGACAGATAGTAATAATTAAATTAACTGAAAGGCAATCAACTGAGACGCGCTCTGATTATTGATGATAATGCGACACATTAAAAAAAGCCGCCTGATTAATGATTTTTCGATAAAAATAAAGAAAAGAAAGAAATGTTTATACATTATATACGCAAGCACATCTGCCTGATTGAATTCAATAGTTTTAAGTTTTATTATTCTTTAATTGAAAATTATATTGATTTGATTTTATAGAAATTAATTTGAAAATAAATTTTAGTTTTTGACAACAAAATGTTTAAGCAAAATTTTTATATGTTGTCTCAACAAAATTTTAATTGTCTATCCAAATTGGTTGACGCACAACCAAAATTAGAAAGAGATTTTTGTTGGCAGTAGTAAAATTTGTGGTTGTGACAAACCAAAATGTTGATGCAATATAAAAATTTTTGGAACGTTTTAAAACCAAACCCTATTTTCAGTGTTCTTTTTTTTAATTTCGTGTATTTGATATATAATTTTATGGGAAGAAATAATCTAAATTTCTCTAAGATCTGGCAACAGTGCAATGCTGAAGGGATCGCGCACACTGCTGGAAACGTTAAATGGAATCATGGTTTCCGTAAAATGAGATCCTTAAAGTCACGTACTCGTCTAGTCGAACATTTATAAGATCCACATGTACATTCCAGATTCATGTGTATTTAAAATCACGTCTTGGCAAACGAATAATGTACATTTGTGTATATACTATTTATATATGTATTTATACACTTCAGTGCACGTATAACATTTTCAAGCAACTAAAGATTGCATTTGTATTAATATATTCTTATTCTATATATTACCCACACATGTGGATCATTTATCTAAATTCACATGTTATTTCCCTTTCAAGAAACTTTAGAAAATACACTATAAATGAATCGTATTTTGTTTGTATATAGAGTATTTTATTACATATACGGATTGTATTTTTTTATTTTTAACTTTTCTCTTTTAGATCTTCAAAATTTTGTTTTACGTCAAAATGAAAATTTTATAGAGCAAACTTTTGCGATTGTTCAAATATGAATTCGTGCTGTCAAGTAAAAACAATTGCTTGTTTCTGTAGAATTTAACTTATTTCTGTAACTTTCAACAATATGAATTAAAATAGAATGAAGAAGAAAATTATGTATGTTCCAAACGAAAAATACTTTTTCATAAATAATTTTTGAGTTCAAAATTAGATTTTTGAAATGAATGAGAAAAATCAGATAAATCCATAATGGAAATATAAATAATAATTATTCTTGGATTTATCAGTTGACCTTTATTGAAAGTGTCTCAATTTTTCCATATTAACTTCCCAATGTAATGTCATTTTATAATTATATAATATATTTCGAGTTATAAATAATTTTATCAAGATTTGTTTAACATCTGGAAATTTCAATTAAAAAAAGAATTTTATGATCATTAAAAATTCGTGCAATTAAATAATTTTTAAATAATGGAAAACCTTTTTTTTTATTTAATTACTCTATAAAAAAAAAAAAGTTGATTTCATTTTAACCGAATTCACACTTGACTGAATGGGTCAATCCTCGCGGTGGCTATGAATGGAAGGTGATAGGAAGTAAAAAAACTCGTCACGTCCGTGGCAAATCAGACCAAATAAGAGCGATCCAGTTGCATTAACCGCAAACATTCCCGCGTGCCAATCTCGAGTCATTCACATATATATTATATGTATAATATCCAATAACGAATAATCAATTCACAATAATTTTACATTATTTAAATGGTATATTATATACATATATATCTATATATGTATACATATGTTACAATTCGAGACGCGCCATATGTTAGGCCGCATCGGGTGTAAAATAAACGTCTGAGAATAAATCGGACTTTGACGGATTTACGGTGCAATAAATATTTAAATTTTCTGCTCCTATAATATAGAGCTTACTGGGATTAAGTATTACACTAGGCGCCAGCTAGACGCACGAGAATAGCGGAATTACACGATTTCATCAACTAAACCTATGTTCTATACTCTGTAATAGTGCATTAAATGATCCAAAAGTATAATTTTTCTTTTCATCTAATGCCTTCTTTTTTAAAAAAAATAGCTTCTCGTAATTTAATAACCTGACGCCTATAAAAAAAAACCATTTTTTTGTCATTTCGCGGTTTATTATTTTTCGACTACCCTTTTGATTATTCCTTTTTACTTATATATTTTAATGAAAAAAAAGATAATCTAAATATAAAAGCTATTTTACAAAATGACTTTAAAAATAGTGAAAAATTTGCATTGCTTTTGGAATATTACTAAAGCTGACTTGGCATAATATAATATATATATATAAAGAAGGCACTGACCACTGTGAATAAAAATTTTATTGTTATGCAGTTGAGATAAATCTTTGTCTATTCCGCGAAATATTGAGATATGAATGTAGATTATTTTAATTTAATTGTAGGAAAAATTATTTGATTAATATAGAAATTAATTTTTTGAATATAAAAATTAATTCATCTTCTTAATGTACAATATTTATTAATATTATTGTTATTATTATTATGACAATAATTTTCAATATAAATTTAAAATTTGTTTATTTAACAAACAAAAAAAATAAGTGAATAAATTTCAATAATTTGTAAATTGTAATTTTTCCTGCAAATTAAAAAAAAAAATTGTTCTACAATCAGTGAAAATACAACACTCAAATAATAATATATTTAAATGAAATTAAAATTCTATTCAAGTCGAATAAAAAAATGTGAAATGTTTTAAATATATAGTTTGTCAATAATTATTGAACAATTCATTAATTGTTAACAATTATTTACAATTCAAAGTATTATGCTTGTAATTTAACATTATAGCAATGTTCTTTATTATTAACAATTTTATATCACATATCAATTAATTTTATTATCAATTATTTAACATTGTAACAAAATTGTTAGTTAACATTTTAATTTATTTAAAAATTTGTTAAATATTTTTCGTAAACTATTTTCAAATATTTATCTATATTATATATATATGTATTTGAAAAACAAATTGTACTATTTACTTACTATTATTATCGCTATCATCCGTAGATTTTTCTTCGGTATCAGTGAGCACCTCATAATCACCGAGATCAAAATCGATGGAAGCGGCGGACGTCGCGACGCTGAGGGTCGTCAACGTCGCCAAAACGAACAACTCCCGTGGCAGCATGGTAAGTCTGCTTCACTATTATACAGTAATCCCAATGTCAGGGTCTTGCCTTCTGCATTCGCTTTTCTTGCCAACCGCGCTATAAAGCCAAGATTTCAATAAAAATTTACAAATATCACTTTATTCCACAAAAAAAATCACTCTTTTTTCAAAAATATTTTATTATTGTTTTTTTAAATTATAGTTTTTATAATTATACAGTTTGAAAATTATTCTTGTCTTTTTTTTACAATTAGACGTTTTCACAATAATTGTATGTTATTACAATTGTATTTTTTTAAAATAACACATTATTTTTGTTAAATTAGTCTTTTATCAGTAATAATTAGTAGAGAATTTATATAAAAAAATATATATAAAAAACTGCAAAAATACTTCAAAATTAAAATTTTTAAATTAAATTTATACACACGCGCTTATTAAATCGTAAAATGTCATTTTCTATTATTTCCACGCGGAAATATAATGTCAATTCAAAATATTCCCGATTGATCGGACATATAGACGTCCTCTTTAGCTGAACGCTTTGAACAGACTAACTTGAAACTTAGTTCGACTGACTCACTCTCTCGTTTGAAAAACGCTACCGCTTCGAACAGCCGGACGACTAATACATTGAAAAATACACACTCATACTATTGAAAAGGTTACTCGTACACTTGAAAATTTTTACACACGTATACAGTGGCAGAAACACACACACACACACACATTGAGATAAAGAGAGCGGCCGCCCGCTCTCGAAGAATACCCGCTGATAGTTTTTAAAACTGGCGCGCGGCAAGTCTTGTGTGTGTGTGTAACTATTGGTATAGGAGAGAGAGAAAGAGAGAGAGAGAAGGATAAGGTGATCGCGTGAGGGAAGGAGAGAGAATGAAAAAAGAGCAGTGGCGCCTGAGGCACAGACGCCAGTTTTATTCGTGTGTTAGTGCATATTTGTGTGCAATAAACACAGAGACCGCGTGCTCTAATATTTGTATTAGTGCAACGCATACGATGTGCGTGAGAGAGCACCGGTCCCTGCAAACCATCAACTCCCGACAGCCGGCTGTTTTTACCTTTTTTTTTCAATTTATTTATTTTATATCATTATGTACATATACATCAACTTTATCCTTTTTAGAAATTTTTAATTTTGAAATTTTTCTTCAAAATACTCAAATTGCACATCAAAAATGTTTTTGCAAACTATTTTTAAAAATTAACTCTCACAGCAAACTTTTTTGACCTCGCAGTAAAATTTGTTCGCTGTATTAGAAAATGTAATTTAATGTGCGGCAGTGAATGGTTTAGGACTACGAATAAATTAGCTGTGGGATTCCAATTCTCGATTTTTTTCTCATTACAATTTTTTAGGAGCTGTAGCGAACATTTTAGTTGCAGAAGCAAATTTTTTTTTTTAGCAAACATTTGTTAGTATCTGTAGCTAACGAATTCCTTTCCGTTAAGTCTTGATACTTAAGCCGCTGAATTGGCGGCTCAATTATTATTAGCAGATATATCTAGGAATTAGCTATCACAACTAACTTCTTAGCTGTCTTTGTAAATATTTTAGTTGCTGTAGCAAATTTTGACAACAAACATTATAACTTAATTCATTTTTCTGTGAGTAAAAAGAAGCTATATACTTAAAAAGAAATGAATTAGCTGCAATTGCTAACGGTTTTTTTTCAAGTCAAGCTAGTCTGCCAGTAACTAAAATATTTGCTAATATAACTAACAATAATTTTGCTGTGGTAGCAAACTTCTATATAAATGATAATTATTCATAGAAAATTTTCTAGAAAAAGTTTGCTGTGGCATTTGCTGGCACATCAAATTACGTTTGCTAATGTATAGTAACAGCGAAAAAATTTACTGCAGGGTTAAAAAAAAATTTGTTGTGAAAGTTAATTTTTATACCAATTTTTACTGATATTGTTAATCACAACAAACGTTCGTTTTGTCATATATTGTCATTTTTACTATCAAAAACTGATTAGATTCGACAGCAATCAGTTAGCATTTGTAAAAAAATTCCTTTTTTTGTAGCTAAAAATGTTAGCTTCCACTTCAAAGTGATATTTTCTTAAACAATGGTGCATCATTCTTTTTGCAAGCATCCTCATGTAAAAAAGAAGACTGACAAAGCTATCACTCGCCAGTGTTAATATCCGGTGGCTGTTATTTACATTGAGACCTTTTGCATATGTACCAGTTGGCAGTCGCCACTACTCGAGTATTTATATATACATATATACCTCTTTTGTTTGAGGAAACCGTTTTGACTGCGCGGCTGCGATGAATGTATATATATATATATATATATATATATATATATATACAGGAATCGCATAATGTGGGAATTCAAACATAAAAAAGGGCGACGAGCTAACACACAGTGTGTCTTGCACTTTACAAGGTGCAACATAATATGTATGCTACTAATTGCAAAACTCAAAAGAAAAATAACAAAAAGGGGAGAAAAGTGTTCTAAAAAAAACGATCCACTATTTCTCATAAAGTTATTTATTTCGAAAGAATTATCTTCCTTTTCGAGAAAGCAAAAACAAAAACGAGAAAAATATTTTTATTTCCAAAAAATTGAATAAATTAAATACATAAGTGAAATTACTTATTGTATTAAAGAGAATCAATCACGTCATTAAATGCGGATAGAGGGATTCGAATCGGTATCCTCATGTCTGACTCGAGTTGAAGCCGAATACCTGAGATAGCCATCGAAACCTACCTCGCGAGTTCGCGATGAGGATTCTCTTTCTCTCTTTCACTTTTTTTTTTTCTTATATCACAGTCGACCAAAATCTTCTTCTCTCATCCACTTTGACCAGGTGCTCGGCGGGAGTCAATCTGAAAAGCTCCAGACTATAAACCAAATGAAATAACAAGCATACAAATCGGAGCCTTTATGCGGTTCAAAGGAGCCTTCGTTTTGACAGCATTTTATTTCTATATATATATACAATATACAATATTATTCAATAATACGTGTGCGGCATCAATTCATCTATAATAAGCCCGATAACCCTGTAGTGTACCTGTAGATTGAAAAATATATTGAGACATTGACATAGATATACAGAATTAATACATCAAATATATATTTGATAATCATTAATTCATAAAAATATTTCTAATTATAATATCACATTTTATCATATAAAGATTTACCTGAAACAGATGAAACATTCGTTAAATGTCTAGAATTGATATGTTTTATAAAGTATGGTTAGAGAAATATTTGAATATTTTAGGTCAATTTTAATTAATATATCTTTTTGACGATTTTATAGGTTGCTATTTAGTACATTTATACAAAAATTGATTTGATTTAAATAATGTTATTGGTATAGACTCTTCAGTTGACAAATTCTTCAATTTTGACAACTCCATAATTATTTGGTAATTTCCAAAATTGCTTGCAATATTTCAGAATAGAATTTGTCATTTCGGTCCAATAGAAATATTTTTTCTGTTTAATAGAATTTTTATATCATTTCCGGTTATAAGAACTCATATCCGATTTATATGTTATAAAATACTTTCAGATTTTGTTAAAATTTTAAAGAAAGTTAACACAGTTTGCATGTGTTTATATATATATATACACTGAGAAAAATATGCTATTGAATCAATAGCATTTCTGCCAAAGGTATAAAAATTATTGATTTAAAAGCATATATGCTAAAGAATCTATAAAATATTTTACAAATTTTATAGCATATGCATTTGAATCAATAATTTTGATACCTTTGACAGAAATGCTATACACAGAAAAAACGCTGGGTAATTTTTGTTGCGGGTAATTTTAACCAATGCTAATTCACATAGACGGTGGCGCCCTCAACTAGGATAAAATTTGTTGCAGGTAATTTTTATACCGATTTTGGGGTAAAAATTCTACTTTTTTTTCGTGTGATTGATTCAATAGCATATTTTTCTCAGTGTAGATATTAGAAAATTATTGTAAATACGGTTATAATTGGATCTTTGAATGTAAATCTCGTGTACTTTTGGAACACTATCATAGCTTTCTCACGGTCAAAGAATTTTGAGTTGGTTTTATCGCAAGGTGGGCGTTGTAATTGCAGAGAACCTGGGGCCTTCTTGTCGACAGGTACGCAGCGGAACCTTTTAGTCATCGTCACACGAGAGGATGATTTCGAGCAATCTCTCTTATCATTTGTATTCTGGGGACGACAAGCCTCCGACTAATGGACCACAAATACATGCTCAATTTTTATCGTTCTATACGGTTCTATATATATATATACCTTTTCTCGGTACTGTATAAAGCTTTAAATCTTTATTTCCCTAATTTCAATTTTTAATGACAATTATCATCATTCTCTCTATATAATTTTATCTTCATAAAATCGTTATCCGCTTTAATGGAATTTATCCATTATTTCTATTTTATATAATGTATATAGTTCTGTAAATAATTTTTTGATATTTATAAATATTTTTCTAAAAAGTATTATAATAATTCATCGGTTAGGAATTTTGATTTTAGAAAATAAAAATCGAAGATTAGAGAGAAAAATAAAAAAAAAAATGTTACCATAATTTTCATAAAGACTGAAGAGGAGTCTGTTTTAAACGAGCGTCCTATAATCATGCGAATTTTTAAAGAATCCAAGTAGAGTGAGGGGGATGACCAGGTAACATGCGGGGGTAAATAATAACGTAACATTAGAAAACAAAAGAACGTCAAAGAAAACGAGAAGACAGCCTCTGGCAACATTTTGAAATCAGGCTCTAAGTGCACAAAAGGCAGAGGCAACAGTAATTTATTTTTCGAGAGGGCTCTTCTTTGACTCTTGAAAACCCCATGCGTTCACCTCTCAAGTCGTTTGGATCAATTTTCTACCGAACTTCGTTTCACAAACTGACAATAGGCCCCCCACGATGATTATATGCTTTTTTCTTTTCTGTTTCTTTCAAAGGGACATCGTTCAAATCTTAATTAATTTCCCCATTTCACATGTCATTAAAAATAAAGTCATTATAAAAAGTAGAGGAACTTTTTATCATTCGTAGGTAATATAGACTTCTATAATGGCCTTTTATCAGTTGATAGGTTTCCTAGTGTCAAATTGAAAAATTCTTTCACTTATTTTAATTTTTACAATTTGGATTACATTAACAATGTAGAAAATGACAATACCGACTGATGGTAACGGGACATTACAGGAATCTACTTTAGTAATTAATGGTAATAAAAAGGGACATCTTTCTTTGATCTCGATTACATGTCTGATTTTGATTGATTTTCCCTTTTTTTTGTATTCTTTTTTGTTTCAAACTTTTTTTTCTCTCTCTCTCTCTTGTCGGTCTATCTTGACTAATTATGTTGAAATAGTCGAGCACCTGGAAGGACGTTGTCTTTTTTTTACAGTCGATTTGCTTGCAGGTAACAAGAGTTGTCGCTTGTCATCGTTCAAAATGAATTCTCCGTATATGCTATATGATTGTAAAGATATTTAAGAATTTAAAAATAAAATGTGCAGTCAAATCAGACGTTCGTGATGTGATTGTATGATGATCA